GGTATAAAGATTTTGCTTTGTAATTGTAAAACAGTTTAGCATGCAGCATATTTCAGAGAGATCTCAAAAGGTAAAAAAAAGTATAGAATGCTAAGTTATAAAATACCTAGGAGAAAATTGTCCTAAAATGACAGTCATATTTCAGGTACCACTATTACTTTAGAAAAAAAAACTTTTATGCATTTAGGATAACATAAAATAGAAAATCTGCCATTAATGGTCTAGAAATTTAAGCTCAAATTTAGCAAAAGCTACAATTATGGTTGCTAGCAAGTGATTCCTTTTGCTAGTTTGAATGATGGTTGATTGGTCATAATGGCTGCTCATTTGAGGTTTTGCTAAGAGATGATAATTCTGTCTGGATATCTGTATGGAGTGTTTTGAGGGACACTCAGCTCAGACAAAGTGAGCATCTTCCCATACTCTTAACTTCTGTTAAACAGAGAAATGAGAATTTGGGGATCTGCAGGATTGCTTGGTGTTTGTGGTGCAAAATAAACAGGCATCATTTTTGCACATATGCAAGAACAGTGGCTGCTGTTCTGTGTACACACCAAATCATTTATATAGATAGTCCTCAACTTACAACAGTTCATTTAGTGACTGTTCAAAGTTACAACGGCACTGAAAAAGTGACATGATCATTTCTCACAGTTATAATCGTTGTAGTATTCCCATAATCAGGTGATCAAAATTCAGATGCTTGATAATTGATTCATACTTATGACCATTGCAGCATCCTAGGGTCATGTGATCACCTTTTGCAACCATCTGACAAACAAAGTCAATGGGGAAACCAGATTCTCTTAACAACCCGGTTACTAACTTATCAACTGCAATGATTCACTTAACAACTGAGGCAACAAATGTCATAAAACAAACGAGGCAAAACCCAGTTAATAAATCTCACTGAACAACATAGGTTTTGGGCTCAACTGTGGCCATAAGTCAAGGACTACTTGTATTTATAGTTGTTGATTGGAAATTCTTCTCCAAGAACTTTTTCTAGGGACCTCTTGGTCAAGTACTTTCATTTACCCAAGTGATGCATTACATCCATTCTCTCTATACTCTGACTCTGTTTTTTAGTGAGCAAGGGAGTGTTCTTGTGCCATTTGAATGACTAGTCCCACCCCTTCAGGAACATTCAGTAAAAGTGACCCTACTTTGCCCCCTGAAACACCCTTTTATAGGGTTATTAGTATGTGGAACCCAATTAAATCATTTTGCTGCTGAAATTGTTTTATAGTCCCAGAAATGTTCCCCCTTCCATGCTTAAAAAAAGAAAAATCTACAGGTACAAATGCCAGGTGCCCACAACCCCCTTCAAATTATAAACACCCTCTTTCACGGCTTTACACAGATTTAGTTTTCCTGAAGTGTAACCTGCCTCCCAAAGCCATCTTAATATGGTATTAATTTTAAATATTCAACAAAATATGGTTTCTAAAGATAAGCAAGCACTGTATCAATATATACTCTTTTGGAGCTCTAAACTGTCATTCACTACCGTATATGCTGGTTAACCATGTGTATAGCCTGTTTCTGTACAAGTGACCTTTTCAAGGATGAGCGGTGTGTTAAACATTGTAAATAAGTTAAGTTCCCTCATGTGGCATGGCAGATGTTTGATTTTCTTGGCATTTGCAGGGTTGCACAAATAATAATGACCAAAAGAGCACATTTGCCAGTAGTGAAGCAGCTACTGTATCTTGCAATGTACATTAGCTATCATTTCAGCATGATGAATCTGACTATTCAGGTTTCTTCTCATATATATTCATCAATATTTTGGAAACCATAAGCAGAAATGCTGTTCTGGGAAAAGGTCATTCTTTTCTACCTTGTAATACGGATGTCATATTTCTATCAGGATTATTGAAGAAAGTTTTTTAGAATCAGCACAAGTCATAAAGAAAAGCAAATTTCTATCAATGTGTTATATAGAAGTGGAATGGATTAGTTTGTGAGGTTGACACAACATAATCATTTCCAAACTAGGCCAGATGCATAGGACAAACCTTTGCCCTCAGACCAGTGTAATCATTCAGAAGCCATCTGACATCCTACCATGACTGGATAATCAAGTTCCTAGAAATAACAAGCCAGTAGGGTTGACCAGGAAATAGAAGAAAGCATAGATTGTGAATATTTGCCTATGGCCCCACTGTCTCTGGGCACTTGCAGAGCCATGGATGCAAGGCCATGGGAGGTCACTCAGGGAAACTCCCAAAGTCCCAAGAGACCTGACAACATTGTGTCTTTAGGGAACTACACAAAAGAACATCTTTAGTCCTTTCTGTTCTTCCTTATCTTATCTACAGTGTGCCAGCTTTCCTGGACTTTCCTTGGTGAATTCTTTATCTTATGTGTGCTAGCTTATGCAATCAAAAAGTATAAATGCAAGGATTGCTTGTCATTGGGGCTTCCTCTCTTTTGGAGGGGCACGTCTTTGTTCAGCTGAATGAAAACACAAAACTTAAAAGGCAACTTCTGATTTGTTGCATTTCTACCAAGCCACGCCTCACACGCTACACAACAGAACTTGTTCAAACATGAAATGCACAATGTTGCTGGTCAATCGTGAAAGTGGGAGAAGTTAATGTCAAGAGAGGAATCTTTATTGCCATTACTGTTTATTACACTTATTCCTCTATGAATGATACTGAACAAGCAAGGCCATGACTATAAAATATATAAAACATCTGCTGTTGGATGAATAAAAATGGCAGATTGAATCTAAACATCTGTGTGACCAATCATACTAATTGTTTCATTTATAGTAGTGATTAAAACTGGAAACTGAATACCTCTGAAGTTGAGCATTAAGTTTGCTGTAAGTTAGGACTATTTATACAGTAGTCCTTGCTTAATAACTATTCATATAGCAACCAAAGTTATGACAGCGCTTTTGCCTGGTTCCTGAAGTTACGGCTGTTGCAGTGCCCTCAGTCACATGATCAAAATTTGGGTGCTTAATACTCACCTGTACTTATGACCCATAGGGTCTATAGAGTCTAACCTGATTTGATGGTATTTGTCTTCATTTTCCAGTGGAGTTATATTTTCTAAAATTACCTGTCCTTATTTTGGTGTTTTTTCTGAAGCAGAGTATAGGCAAAATCTTCTTACTATCTACAGATGGATTTTTTTGCAAATATTTACAATCATTACTTTAAAAAAAAAAAATCCTGGTCCTATTCTTTTTGGAATGTGGCATTATATTAGTATACATACATATATACCAGCAGTTCTCAACCTGTGGGTCGCGACCCCATTTGGGGTCAAACGACCATTTCATGGGGGGTCGCCAAACAACGCAGTCCGCCATTTTTTCCCTTTTCCTTAGTGTGCTACTCCCTTTTATTCTATTGGCTTTTGAAAGCCAATAGAATAGACTCTCTTGAATAGTCTAATTCTATTGGCTTTCAAAAGCCAATAGGAATTGTCCAGGCTGTCTCTGCCCTGCTGAGCCCGCCAAAAGCCCCAGTCTGCAAACAGTGCTTCAAGTTGTCTGCAGCGAAGGCAAGCTGTCTGGAAGCTTCCACCCCTCCCTGCTAAACAACTACTAAAAATGTAAGTAAAAGAGGGCCAGGGGTGGGAGGCCGACGGGTGCAGGGAGGGTTGCTGGCACATGTGGGGCCCGATGGGTGCCTTACCTCCCTTGGGCTGGGCCAACTGGTGGCCCAGCCGGTGGTTGCCCTGCGCCGTCGCTGCCCCTTGCCAGCTATGCCTTGGTCGGCGCAGGGGGGCGGCACCACGCATGCGCGGGACTCCCAGGCAGGGAAAGTCCTCGACTTACGACTGGTTGGGTAGTCCTCGACTTACGACCGGTTGGGATCGCGGCATTAAAAAGGTTGAGAACCACTGATATATACAAATGTGGTACATTACATACTAGCCAATGTGTGCGTCTATGGAAAATCTCCAAATGATTTCAGCTAGAATTGGCAAATCTACATAATATAAAATGAGGAAGCGGAACACTATACCATACAGGATTCTTGCCCATGTATTGTCTTGAAATGGGAGGGTAGAAGCCAGTTATACTTTTACAAGTTGTGTTGAATAAGCTCAAGGTGAAAAATAATGGATTTTGCTCATCCCTAACACACCAAATTACAGAATGTTGCTTTATTAATGCTTTTCTGACCTTTAACTATTGGTGTGAAAATAATTTTTTCCCTGACCCCATCTTTTAGGGTTTAGATGGTTAAGGTATCCTGCATAATTTTCTTCCTTTATTATCTTTCCTAATTTACCTCCCTTAGCTCCCTTGTTTGACAGCAACTATCCCCAAATCCTCAACACCTTTCTATTTGTATTTTACTTGCCCTATACCAGGGGTGTCAAACTGTGTCATGCTGAAACTGCACCATTACCGGTAATGGAAAAAAAGTCACGATATGTCGTGACACATTACATGATGTTGCGAGTTTGACACCCCTGCCCCATACCTTACTTTTGGACCTTTCTATTTGACTAAACTGTCCCCAGATCTCTTTGGTTTAGGCAGTTGAGAATTTTTTGCTTGTTTAATACTAGATTCTATTGTTATACATTTGGAAACTTACAAGGAGTGTATTTATTGGGGTTGAAATAAAAAAAATTAAAATGGGTGTAATTTTAATTTCTGTATTATAGTTGTTTCATAGAATATTTATAGTCTTTCTGTTAATGTTCAATAATTAAACAGAAATAAAACTTGTATATTTTAGTGTTTTTTTCCCATTGATCTTGTGGTTTAGGAACACAATTATAGTTCTGTATCTTGCATGATCCATCTTGCTGCTATACCCATAAAAACCCTTTACATTTTATACTGTCAAAATGTACGCATATACATTTACTTACTTCACTTGTTTGCCACACATAAATCTAAATAAACCTGTATGTATATATCTATATTTAAAACACATTGCACTTTATATAATCAGGAATGGAAAATATTGTTATATAATTTGTAAATCTATAGTTAGACCAAACAGAAACAGAATCTATTGTAGTTTCAGATATTTTTTTTTATTTATAACTATATGTAGAGTGCTTAGTTTTAACTTTCCTTCTGTTTTTTCTTCTCAATCTGAAAGAAAAAAGAAGGAAACATAAACATCCTTAAAATATATAATATACCCTACAATTCATTCTTTTCAAGTTATTAAAATCTCATTTCATAGATGAAACTCATATTAAAGTATTTTAAAACATAGATGGGGAACAGTCTATGAAGTCTTTTCTATATAGCTCAGGAAGGCTGATTTAGAATCTTTAATGCTTAATGGATAACTGCTCACAGGAACCACATGCTTCCAATTACTTTATTTGCATTTTTTATACAGCAATCATGAAGAGTTATATTTGCCAAAGTAGAGAAAATAAAAGATGGAATCAAAAAATAGTAGTAAAAATAATTCAAATACTAAACCATTAGTCATCTAATAGTTAATTTGACTTTCTGCCCTAACATAGCTTCTAAAGGTAGCCAATCAATATATATTAAAATAAAAATACAATTAAAATATATAAAGTAAATCTCTCCTTCAAGTATAACTCTACTTCAAATGATTAGACATCCATATGCATATCTGATCTATAAATGATTTACAACTGCATTCCTCAAGGTTTTTAAAAGTTTTCCAGATATTGCATTTAGTCCAATCCCTTGAATTCACAAGAACTTCTCTGACAAAGGACCATTCAATTTAAGCAATATTTTTCATGTTGTAGCTTCTTTCATCCGAGTGATAGTTTGTACAGTTAGTTCTTACTGACATCCAGCCTGAACCATTTTCCTTTTGTAAATCACTACTGGTATTATCTTTTGGAGCTACACATGAAGTTCAGTTTCTGTTGTTTATTGCAATGATTCAGGTATATGAAAACTATCTTAACCCTCTAACCCTAACTGAACCCTCAGTATGTTTGTAGCCACACATTCCTGTCTCTTATGTGTGGTCCACAGAACTAGACACATTTCAAATAGGGTATGACAGAGTCGGAATAAGTACTCAAAAAATTCTGTTTAATAATCTGTTAAAGTTTAACTGCTGTAAGACCTTTTCTGAAAAATATTTATAACAAGTACAGCTTTGTCAAATAGGTATAAAGCCCTTCTACAGCCTTATTCTGATTAGTGCATCTATATAATGTAATAGAAATTATTTGTCTTTTTTTTTCTGACATCAGTGCTTAGGCACTGATGCCAGAAAAAAAAAAGACAAATAATTTCTATTACATTATATAGATGCAATAACAAAGAGCTGACCTACATTAGAAGGCACTATCTTTTTTTATTTGCATTGCTTCCAAATTTACCTGTTAAGAATGTATCAAAATGTCACTACACAATTCATTGGTTTACCAATTGAATTTTATTGAAATAAAACCAGAAACCATTTTTTACAGTTTCCAAGAGGTAACCCATATAGCTTATAAAGACGTCTAGAGAATAAAATGAAAATAAGTAGGAATTACCCCGTTATAACATATTCACTGCTTAAGCAGCTGATGCCTTACAATAAAACAGGGACCACCAATACCAGTTAGGGTAAAGATAAAGGTTCCGAATAACAATTTCCATTTGTTGTCAACAGAGAATGGGAGATTCTGAAAAGATAAGAAGTTTTGTTTTAGCCACAGTACTTAAGTTATTAAACAAAGTTAATGTATAAAATCCCATGGATAACAACCAAGTACTAAATGTTCATTCATCATTTATAGTTACATTAAATGTATTCCTAATTTTATAAAAAGGTCACTCACACAGGTTTCATAGATTAATATCAACATCCTTTAATGTTAACCTGATTTCTACTATTCCTGTTTTATGACCTGAAATTAAATGGTATCTGAACATGACTTCATAATTGGTACATCAGAAAGCGTTTACAGTATCATTGTTATTCATGCTGTTATGCTGTCATCATCTATACCAGTAGAATTAAGAAAATAGTCATATATTGCACCAAAGGCACTGCTCCTGCCCATACAGAAACAGAAACTACATATTAAAAGTATTAAAAACACCACCGTACACACTGAGCAGGGCCTTTGGACACGTGCCTTTCAAGCTGCAGGCAAAGAAAAATGGTATTTCTAAAAATGATTCCACAATGAGAGGTAAAAAAGAAAAACTCGCCCCATCCGTATCTAGAGCTCAGCCCGCATATTTCATACTATGCAGATCCAAAATGTGAACAGAGATATTACAAATATTAAATCCATAAAAATAAATTATGGCTCATTATCCTCTATTTCGAAAAGTCACTTTTTCGTGATTAAGGCTTTAAGCTTTCAATCCCGGCCTTCCAAATCAACTCCGTGCCGTAAAATAGAGGGGAGAAGAGGCTGAAAAATAAGAGCCGTTTCTCCCAAAAGCTGATTATTATTTTTCCATCACTGACTTCGAAAGGCGAAGGGCCTAGAGAAGCGAAGGAGCCTCTCTCCGATTCCTTCCTCCCACACCAAATGACAGAGGCCTAGCCCGACTTACCCAGGAAACTGGCCTTGGCAGAAGTAACGGAGGCCCTATATTCTCACCCTTCCCGCCTCCATCTTACCTTTCCCGGCCCTTCCTCGTAATGCATCCGCCGAAGGGCGGAGGTGCCGAAACGACGAACGCTGCTAATCAGCATAACGGCCGAAATATAACCCCGGTCACAAAAAGGTTGCTTCTCCCTCACGACCTTCAGTTAATCTAGAGGCACGTGACTCAGGCATCATGGGAGAAAAGTGGATCGCCGAAAGGCAATATGGGAATTGTAGTTTTAGGGCACAGAAGGCCCTTGCGGAAACGAATGTTTGTTAATAAGTATCTGTTTTTCGAGGAAAGTTTCGCGGGAGGTATTTGAAGAATCAAACAAACAAACAACTCCCCCCTTCTGTACATAGGCACTTATTGGTTTGTTTATATTAAACCCCTAATTATAGGTAAAGAAATACAATGCACAAAGCCTTGATTCCTCCCCCTCCCCCTCCCTTGCCAAGGCCGGAAGAAAAAGGAAATGAACATAAATATCGTAAAAGTGCTTCATTATAATTAAACAAATATCTGAGGATCTTAAAAGCAGAGAGAGAGAGAGAGAAAGCTTGATTGAATACTGGTAATAATGTTATTAAATGTGTATCTGCTGAACGTACTCATATTTAAGAATAGATGAAACCAATAGAGAGATATTGCGATAAAAACAAATGGGATGGCCCATATAAAAAGAATTTATAATGTTCTACTAGAATTATACTCGGAAACAGAATTGGTTAAAAGACTGTATGATTAAATGGGCTCAAAATATACAGGAACCAATTTCATTGGATTTATGGGAGACAATTTGGATTAGAAATGTTAAATTTACACAAGCTCAAAATTTGAGAGAAAATTTTTATAAAATATTTTATAGATGGCATTTAGATCCTAAAAAATTATCTTGTATGTATCCTAATATACAGCCCAAATGTTGGAGATGTGGTAATAAAGATGCGACATATTTTCATATTTGGTGGAATTGTAAAAAGGTAAAGGCATTTTGGATTATGATTTGGTGGAACATTCAAAAGATTTTTAGAAGGAAGATAAAGTTTACTCCTCAACTATTTTTATTGGGTATCTTTGTGGACTTAAATGATAAAGAAACTATTTTGATGTTGAATTTATTAACTGCTGCAAGGTTATTAATAGGTTTATACTGGAAGAAAGATTCTTTGCCTACTTTAGAAGAATGGGTATTTAAAGTATCTAGTTTTGCAGAAATGGCAAAAATTTCTGCTTATTTAAAGGATCATACACAAGAAAGATATATTACTGTATGGAGAAGATGGATAGATTATATTCAGAAAAAGTATGGAACTAAAAAGTTTCATTTATTTTATGAATGAATATTATAGTAAATATTATAGAGAATTGTTTTATAGGTTATTTAAGTTAAAGATTAAGTATGATATTTTCTTTTTTTTCCTTTTTTCTTTTTCTTTTCTTTTTTCTTATTATTACAAATTTTCTTATTATTAACCCTGTATTCTGCTCTGGGAAGTGAAGGGAGGGGGGGTTGGGGGTGGGAGGGAGGAAATGTGGAGGGGTAAGTGTAATATAGATAATGGTTGCTTATAAGGGTGCGGCCTGGGCACTCCCCTTTGGGTTTGATAGGGATGAGAGGTGAGAAAGTGTAGAGAGGAAGTAGGGCAGTGAGAGGAGAGGGGAGGGGAAGAGAGTAGGATGGGAGGTGAGAAAGAAGAGGGAAGTAGGGAATGTTTTAAGAGAGGGTGGACGCGGCCTGGGGGGAGTGGGCAGGTCGTATTAATGGTTATTTTATTTCAAAATTGTATTGTACCTTTTTTTTATAATGTTTATATGGAAAAAATAAAAAAAACTTTTAATAAAAAAAAAACAAAAACAAAAACAAATGGGATGCAGTTTTCCCGGGAAAAGAAACCAGTGAAGGCTGGTAAATGCAAAGATGTGTATATGCATCCTGTTCTCCCCCAAGTACTGCTAGAATCAATTAAATTAATAAAATTATGAGTATAATCTGGAGCTTTGGGAGTATATAAAAATACAAAGACTGTGTTTATTTTACAAATTTATATGGCAGCTCAGCTCACTCGCAGATGATTCTGGGTGGCTTACAGCATTAAACTCCACAACACAGAAACCATACAACTCCACTTCCTACTTCCCATGGCAATAGCAAATAAAATCAAGCCAACCATTATACACACACATACACACACACACACACACACACATATATATGTTTACATATACATACATATAAATACATACATACATACATATATATGTTTTCTGAGGTTTTCGCGGGTGTTTGTATGTAGGTCTTTGATTGCTCCTCAAAGCACGAAGCTGAAAACACCAGCCTGAAGATGACGAATGGGACTTCGTCGAAACGTCGCCAAGACACTTTCAATTTTACGCGGGAGAAAACCCGAATAACCAAAGACCTACATATACATATACATACATACATACGTACACACACACACACACACACACACACACATTGCCCTGTTCATACAGTACTTATTTGTCAGACCACAAGCATACAGTACTTATTTGTCAGACCACAAGCACAAGCTAGTGTATTCTTGGTAGGATTATTGTGGAATGTTTAATTAGTCCTGTGTTTTGATGATGACCTTTCAGGATGATTTGGTTTATTAGACTTGTGATAGTATTTTTTTTCTCTGTTGGGCTATAATATATTCAGGGTTAAGAAGAGGAGCATTTGGCTGCAATTAAAAAGACATGTATTGTTTCTGTTGCTCAAAGTTGCCGAGAAGTAAAAGTGGCTCCCTGTGAATTGTCTACTACCAAATTGGAGTATAACAGAATAACAGAGTTGGAAGGGACCTTGGAGGCCTTCTAGTCCAACTCCCTGCTCAAGCAGGAGACCCTATTCATTTTCTAAAATCAGTCTTGAATGAGTGTCAGGAAGCTTCATATATTTTCTAGTTGGAGGGATGCAAGTTAGCGTTCATAGATTTTCCTACCTTAGAGATCCAATTTTGTATACAACAGCTTTGGTATCCTTGGTGTAAAACTAGGTTTTAGTTGCACTTATGACAACCAACTAGTAAAAATGTGAAAAAGCTGATACAAGTAGTCATTGACCTATGGCAGGTCACTTAGTGACAGACTTCAAGGAATATCCTGGATTTGAAATTATGACAGCCAGTGAAGGCTGGTAAATGCAAAGATGTGTATATGCATCCTGTTCTCCCCCAAGTACTGCTAGAGTCAATTAAATTAATAAAATTATGAGTATAATCTGGAGCTTTGGGAGTATATAAAAATACAAAGACTGTGTTTATTTTACAAATTTATATGGCAGCTCATCCCCCAGTTATGTGATCATATTTTTGGCATTTGACAACTGGCCCACATTAATAGCCATTTGCAGTATCTCATGCTCACACAATTGCAATCTATGATGTTATGATGATGGCATCTATTTCCCGTTTTTGGCAAAAAGCCCACTGCAGACAATGGATTTGCTTAATGACTGCTTTGTTTTCTTAATAGACGTGTTCATGACCATCACTTTTGCATAATCATTGCTACAAAAATGTCATAATATCTGGGGCAGTCACATAATGATCGGCATAATTTATAACTATAATTCTGAACTCATTTACAGTCATACAGAATAACTGTATACAGTTACAAAAAGATCAATCTGGAATGGACAGGACATATAGAAGTTGGTGCTTTGGATATATTGATCATGAATTAATAAAAGGAAATAAAAAACAATATGCTTGCAGGTATGTCTGTCAAACTAAGAGGATTGAATGAAGGTGGTCAGAATTTGTGGTATTGATGAATCTAAGCAGGAAGGTGGACATATATGTTCAGTGAAGAGCTAAAGTGTATGTATGGAATAATGAATTAATCTCATCTAGGAAGTAATTATTGCATATGAAAACAGCAATCCATAGACTAATAATATCTGCATGTTACACTCAAATGAATGATGATAATGAAAATAAATATTTAGGGAAAATTGTGCAACATTATGACTGGATGTAATCTATTCTAGACGAAAACATTCATCTAGGTCAGTGGTTCTCACCCTTTTGGTCGGGACCCCATTTGGGGTCGAACGACCATTTCACGGGGGTCGCCAAACAATGCAGTCCACCATTTTTTTCCTCTTTTCCTTAGCTGTGCTATTCCCTTTTATTCTATTGGCTTTTGAAAGCCAATAGAATAGGCTCTCTTGAATAGAGTCTAATTCTATTGGCTTTCAAAAGCCAAAAGGAATTGTCCAGGCTGTCTCTGCCCTGCTGAGCCCACCAAAAGTCCCATTCTGCAAACGGTGCTGCACCAGTTGAGTAGTCCTCGACTTACAACTGGTTGAGTAGTCCTCGACTTACGACTGGTCGGGGGTCGCGGCATTAAAAAGGTTGAGAACCACTGATCTAGGTGACATGGATGAAGTGGCTGGAATGTTACAAGAGGGTACAAAAAAAGTTTCAGGGATACATTTATAGACCTAAAATGAATGAAAATAGTCTTTAGTGCAGTGTTTCTCAACCTTGACAATTTTAAAGCATGTGGACCAACTCCCAGAATTCCACAGCCAGCAATGCTGGCTGTGGAATTCTGGGAGTTGAAGTCCACATGCCTTAAAATTGTCAAGGTTGTGAAACACTGCTTTAGTGAGTAGCTATCTCTGTGTTTTCAATACTTTGGTTTAAGCATGTATTGAAATAACATATATATAGCTAAGGAATGAAGATAAATATAAAAGCATGATTGATTTGATTATTTATTATACAAAGATTGAGAGAATTAGTGGAGGATAAGAATACTATACATAGACCATAGTATCAAAAACGGGTCTTTAAGGAAAAATAGACCTGAAACAAATGAGAGAAAAGGAAAAATGGAGGAGGAAAAGAAATGAGACTTATATGAATAACTATTAGAAGAGAGATTCATCTCCCAATAAAATGAATGGTAGATGGATATAAGAGGAAGTAAGATAAGATGAAGATGGATATGTCATCATGATTATGAATAAAAGAAAAGGTTTTAAAAGAGACTATACATCCATCTTCTGCTCCAACTGGGAACATTTTTAAAATTTCAAGTTCTATCATAGCCTTTTTTACTGGGAGGGTTAACTTTAAATGACTTTCAAACCTCAAAATATGCACTCTTCCATTCAGCTAAGCTATTAAGCTACCGTATTTTCTGGCATATAAGACGACT